CCTCGTGTGCGCGCACACATGTCTACTCGTGCACCCTCATGGGCGGATGGGAGTTAGGTGCAGGCGGGGCTCGTGCGTGGCCCGCCGTGGGTAGAGGCTGTGTGCACGCCTGTGTGCATGTCCGCACCCGCCCTGCCGGCCCACACAATCCTCCTTTCTTGTCTTCACAATGGACAAGGGTGGCCTCGGGCGCAGGCTCCACTTCCGTCCCCCACCTCGTCCTCCCCTCCAGACAGCACAGTCCTTCCCAGGGCACTGGGTCCCAAAGACTTGGGTGGACCCTCCCCCACCGCCCCTCAAAGCTATCACTCCAGGCCCTAGGGGGCAAAGCACCCATGGTGGAATTTCAGGCATGGGGGAAGTTCTCGGCCCATGGTTGGGTCCTGCCTGCCCCACAGCCTGTGCCTGGACCCAGCCCTACTGAAGGAAGGGAGTAGCTGCTGATCCCCCAAAGTCCCATAGTTCTAGGCCCTGGGACTAATACGCTGATGGTGGAATTTCAGGCTTGGACCACAGTGGGTGCAGATCTCACCTCTGTGTTCCAGACCCTGTGCACTGGGCCAGGCTTGCTGGAGGGGGGCAGAGACAGATATACTAGAAGATTATTCACTGTTTATCTGAAATTCAAATTTAACTCGGCATCTGTATCTTATCTGGCATCCCCTGAGTTAACTCTAGACACGCACCTTTGGGGCAGGCACACTCACTGGTGGAATTTTAGGCACCAGAAATAAGCAAGGCTCAACCTAACTCCGGAGCAGGCAGTGCTAGCCACCCTACTCCTGCCCCTGGGCTTCAGAGAACTCAGGAGAGGCTACTCAATCACCCCCCACTTTCCACTCTCCCAGCCCCAGCCGGAGAGGCCTCATTGAGAAGACAGGGAAACTGGGGCATAGAACAGGGCTGTCACCTGTCTGAAGTTGTCCAGGGCTGCGAGTGGCAGAGCTAGCTCAGAACTCCGAGCTTGTCTGCTTTCTGAGACACCCTGGGGGCACAGACACCCCTCAGGGTGACAGACAGCCCTTCCCTCTCTGGCCTCCCAGTAAGCTATTTCTTTTGACAGCCAGGTGCGCCAGCCTTGGGGGCAGGTGGGGGCTAAACTCAGGACTTCCTGTCCCAACCGCAAGTGTGGCTGCCACTTGATCAGGGGCTGGGAGCCCCCTGCCTGCAGATCCACTGTCAGTGCTGCCTGCCATTCCAACGTTTGCACTTCTCTCCTGGGGCTGAGGAGAACTGGGCCAGGGCCAGCCACTTGGGAAATAAATTTAGGCTGCGGGGCCCTGGGAATCTGTGGCCCGGGGCACCTCCTGGCGGCTGTGGGACAGGAGAGCTGGACTTGGGCCAAATGGGCACACGATGGACGCGGCAAGGCTGCTGTTTGGGCTTGTTTTCTCTCCCTCTCTGCCACCTGCTAGTGGTGTGGCCTCAGGCAAGTCTCTGCCCTTCTGGATGCAATTTCTGGAGACGCCAGAGAGTGAGCTAGAGACTCATGACAGCTCAGCCAGAGTGAGGGGTTGGGGTGGGAAACAGCACCCCAACACTGCTTGGAAAGGATGTGCCAGCGTCCTGGGGCAGCTAGGGCCCAGTGGTGACAGGGATTTGGATCACCCCTCCTCTGCTGAACCCTCCTTTTCTTTTGGGGTGAGAGCAGCTCAGTGAAAAGAGGCAAAATCCCCAGTACCTCCCTGCATAGGAATGGGGTCCATAGAGATTGCCGGGGGTGTCCAGAGGGCAACACACCGGGTCAGCTCAGCTCAAGGTAGGGCAGGCTGGAAAATGAGCGAGGGTACCCAGAAAGGATGCGCCAGGTTCTGAGCAGCCCATCATAGGTGTAGGGTCCAGAGAAGGGTGCTGGTAGCCCTGGGGACCCAATGTAGAGGTCTGGATATACACTCCGCCCCCTGGGTGCATGGGCGGGAATCCGAAAGCGAGATAAGTGGTCCGGAGAGGGTGCACTAGCGCCTCCGCGACTCCACAAGGGTCCATTTTGCAGGGGAACAGCGAGGGAGGGTAGGGGCTCCTTCCCACCCACCCACTGACTCTCCCCCACCCCCTTCTCTCCATCCCCTCGCAGACCGTGCACTGCTGCAGGGCGCCCCGGACGCCGTGGAGCTGCGCGAGCTAACGCCCTGGGCCGGG